AAAAAAGAAAATTTGGAAACGTATATTATCATGTAAATATGGGAAATTTCAAATTATTTTAATCTTTGATGCTAACGAGGATTTTGCGAGTAATTTTAGAATCCTTGCGAGGAAAATCGAGGATTTCCGTCGTTTCGTGCGGGGAAAATCAAAGAGGTTGGTTGGCAACACTGATAATAAAGTACAAACTAATATTATTAGTAAATCAGCTGATCGCCCAATGCAAATCTAATGGAAATTACAAGTTACAAGTTGTAACTTGTAGCTTGTAGTTTATTGTGAAATGGACCCTTGGTAGAATTGGCAACGTCGCAAGTGATGTTGTTTTGTGACAGACGTCCCATAAGATAACATCAAGAATCAAAAATCAAGAATTTTTATTTCCATAAAATGCAGTTACATTGCTGGAAAACGTCAATCAACTATAGCTAAAATAAAAACTAAAATAAGACAAATAGTACAGGGTTTCTTACCAATATAAAGAATTACATTCCTGAAACTCTCCATGCAGAGAAAAAAAAACAGCACACAGCACTCGGTTAAAAAACTAAAAAAAAAATACTTACATATTCTTCTTACAGATAAAAAAATTCTTTATTTTTGTACAAAGGGTTTGCCAAAAGGAGCCCCCTAAACACCTTTTCTGAATTTTGGGTCCGGCAGGTTCCGAGCTACAAAAGGAAGTTTAAAAAAAACTTATAACTAAGAATATCAATCGACATCTGAACTTTACTTAATCTAACATGTGGTAAATTGAGATCATTTTTCCTACGTGTATGTGTATTATAGGGATGGATGTCGCCTCTCAGCTCAAGAGAATTCCATTCCTTCTTGATTTTGATCAAGAAAAATATAGAGGTTACAAACCGTCATTAAGCTCTCAGCTACAAATATGGGTTTACAATGATCCAAGTAATCAGCACCAGCTACTACTCTAACTGCTTTCTTTTGATAGCGCAGAACTCTCTTGACCCCAGAGGCGGCACCCAGAGCCTTAGGCCATACAATAAAATACTCTGAAAGAAAGCAATATAAGCAGTTTTCAGCCAGTCCTTTGGTACAAAATATCTCAATCTTCTGAGTAGACACACACAGAGCTCTGGAAAGTCTAGCACAAACATATGACTAATCTGGTCATTCCAGTTTACTTTATTGTCAAGATGTAAGCCTAGAAGTTTGACAGATTTCACACTATGTTCTAAGTTTCTTAGAATAAAGATTATTGACTTAGTCTTTGTCTCATCTAGAAACAAGTGATTTGCTCGGAACCAGGCCGATGCCACCTCAAGAGATCGTTTCATGGCTTCCTCAAGATCTCCCAGTTCATTACTAGTTTCAAAGAGTGTAGTATCATCTGCATAACAGACCCCAAACATCAGATAACCTTGCCCCAAACACAAAGCGAGATCATTAAGCATGACATTGAAAAGTAAGGGACCAAGAATTGAGCCCTGAGGTACACCATGGGTCAATTGCTGTACACTGGATTGTGTCTGCCATTTATACAAACCAGCTGCCCACGCCCAGTCAGGTATGATTCAAACAATTCAAAAAAGTTTCCCCTTAACCCAATAGAAATTTAACTTTCCCAGGAGGGTGTCATGAAGCACCATGTCAAAGGCCTTGCTGAGGTCACAAAGAGTGGCCCCAGCAAAGCCCCCTTCTCAAAAGACTGAAAAGCTGCTTTTATTAACTTGTCAACCGCATCAGTAGTGCTGCGGTGAGGCCTGAAACCAAAATACAGAGAGAGCTGTTCTTTAATAATAAATTCAAGGATCTTAGAGAAAGATGGCAGAATAGAAATTGGTCTAAAATTCTCTGGCAGGTTGGGATTGCCTTTCTTGTGAATAGGCACAACCCTAGCAATTTTTAAAACATCAGGGAAAATACCTTCTAAAATACAACAATTGGTACAGTAAGTTAATGGGCTAACTATAGAGAAAATGATCTGTTTCAGAAAACTAGTAGAGATATCATATATGTCTCTGCTAGAAGAATTCTTTAACCCTTGCACTACAGATATGACTTTATCACATGAAACTGGGGAAATTTGAAAGGTACTAGTAGGTGGATGATGTTTTCCCAGTAGTTCTAGGCCAGAGGTAGGGGGGATTCCAATAGCGTCACGGGTCTGTTGGACCGAGTTCACAAAAATCGTTGAACTCACTGGGTGTTAGGCTGGTCGACTGTAAAGGCTTTGTTGGGACCACTTCTCTCTTTATAATAGTCCAAGCTGCAGAAGGATTTTGTGCAGATTCAATGAATTTAACATTACTCTCAAATCTGGCAAGCTTAAGGCTTTCTTGGTATTCATTTTTGACTCGCAGATATCTTGCTTTAACTTCAGGAGTTTTGGATACCTTGTACATATCATAGGTTAAAAGTTTCCACTTTCTTAAGGTTAGTAAAGTGGGATTGTCTGTTTAGGGCTGGATGGAGTTTTTTAGATTCTTTCGGGGCCGGAGGGTTTTTTTGGGAAGCCACTCATTAACCAACATTAGAAAAATATTTAAAAACTGGTTAAATTTTTGGTTAGCATTACCACCTTGAAGTAGAACATACCAGTCTATGTTAAAAAGATCACCCAAAAAGCTATGTATTTTACTTACAGGAAAGGGCCTATACAACTTAGATATAGTACCATGCTTCGAGACGTTCCCATCTGCCTGCTTATCCCTTATGCTAAACTTAATTGCTTCATGGTCTGCAATGGCTTAGCTAAGGACCTCTGCCTTAAAACAGTCATTAGATAAATCGGTGGCTACATTGTCCAGGCAGGAAGTGCCTCGAGTAGGCTCCCACACAGAACAATAAAGGTCAAGGGACCTTATTAAAAGGTTTACAAAATCTTCGGAAAGTCTGTTTCTTACCAAGATGTTCACATTGAAGTCGCCACCTATGACGACACTGTTCGCAGATCTTCTCTTACTTAAAGAGAGGACAAACCTTTCAAGGCTATCTAAAAACCTATCCGGATCACCGTCAGGCGACCTATAAATGCCAATGAAAATAATTCTGCAACTATGCAAATGAACGCAAACATATTCATGATGCATGTCAACGCAAAACTCACTAACATCAATAACAGTGATTGAGTTCATTATATTAGGTGTCCTAAAAAGAACAACCCCACCGTGTTTCAGAGAAGTTCTGCAGGCTGAAATAAGGCAGAAGCCACTTATGTTTGTACAATTTATAAGTTCATCGGACTGCCAATGTTCTGAGAGACAAAGCAGTTTATAATCATTAAGAGCAAGTGTCCTTTCAAGGTCTAAAATACGAGCAGTGGAAAAGGCACTGTACATTAAGCAACAATATACAAAAGTTAAAAAGTCCTAGGCCAACACCTACATTATTTGGGCCTCTATGGCCGTTTTGGTTAACAGGTCTAGATGCACAAAAATTTACAGAGGAGTGATTTTCCCGCATCATGTTTAGTCCCATTTTTTCTGACGATCCCCTAAAAAGTACGAGAAGGAATGTAACTTTTAACGTTATTTTGTCTGCCTGAACGACATTCTTCAAACTCTTTTACGAAAATTCCCTCGGGCCAAAATTCAGGTTTCAATAAGTCCTACACAAAAGATTATCAGAGACGCTTACCTTGAAACTTGTATAGTCTGAAAACCTGGTAGGTAGTTTCTCACATTTGTTACAAATAACATTTTCACTTTTTAGATAGGATTCATATAAGGTGATTTCCTTACACGGAAAGTAAAGTAAGTAAGTAATTTAGTAGATTAATTTAAAATCAATCCGGCAAAATAGAAATTTGGTTAGTCAACAGGTTTGCTGCAGCGGGTGTATTATTTAGAATTTGTATTTTCCTATCAACAGTGGCGTAGCTAGGATTTCAAAATAGGGTGGGTCGACTGATTCAATACCCCCTAGGTAAAAGGGGGGTTCGGGATTTTTTATATTTTTATATAGGCCCTAAAACGGATTTTTAGCTCTCTTGGCATTGAAAATAATCAACCCCAACGTCAATACAGTATGATTATATAATTTTACATTTAATTTAACAAAATAAATATTATATTTAAGACCGGAAGGGGGGTCCGGACCCCCAGGACCCCCTCTAGCTACGTCACTGCTATCAAACGATACCGAGTTCAAAAACATCGTATTAGAAATAGCTGAAATATTACGACTTATATTTTTGTAAAATGGCGTAGAATAAGGCAGAGCTTTGTCAGGTTTGTCCCATTTTACAGCTAACATTCTTAATATTTCAGCTATTTATTATTCGATCTTTTTGAACTTGGTATAGTTTGATAGGGAAATAAAAATGCTATATAAATGTATTCTTGAATTTTTTTTCATAAAATCAGCCATTTCTGAGTAATTTAAGTTAGAAAATTTAAAATGGCCCATTTTGAAATTTTAAGTTGAATCGAGATGAATATTTTTCTAACATGGCTTAATATAACCTTAACATACCTACCAAGTTTCATAAAGACCAATTGAAAAAAATCAAAGATAAAAATGTCTATGTAAAAAAATACAAAATGGCAAATATCAGGTTAACGAAGTGATTTTGGAAAAAAACATTATTCTTGATTTTCTCTTTATTAAAACCCAAGGAATTACTGCGTAAATTATGTCCACGTTTTTGAACACCATGTACTTCTGCACGGGTGTATTATGTTTTTATTTATATCAACGGATACACCATTTACAAAATATTAAATATATGTATGAAATAAATGAGGGAATGATATACCTCAAAGAAGGTTAATTTACCTTTAACCACTTTCGCCGAGATATAGTATATACATGCCACGAGTTTCACTGTCTGCTAAAATACCAAATGCTCGTATGTCAAAGGCCAGGCCACTGGCCCAGCACTGCTACTGCTGCCCATAACAACACCATTCCATTCCATTCCATATCCATTCCATTCCATTACTTTACTTATTACTTTACTTATGGTCAGGCCAGTTTGTCAGTCAGTCTACTCTATTCTATTTAGTTAGTGGTTTTGGTTTTACATTCATCTGCCATCTGCATGGATCATGTCATGGTAGATGGACTTTAGTTTCATTTGTACCTATTTTTAAGTGTTGATAAAACTCTTGTGTATTCAGAAGAAATCTGTGTATTAATTTGTGGGATGTACATTCAGTTTAATGAATCAAGATGACGATTTTATCTAAGAAAAAGGCCATTCAGGGGAAATCAGAAGTAGAATCTCCAGAAACTACAACTCACCACAATGGATCTCATTCTCATGGAATTTCCCTAGGATCCTTACCCAGTCACCCACAAGTATGTATTCAGATTTCTACCTCATCTTATTGTATAACATAATGTGACTGTCTTGTGGTTTGAGGAGCAAATATAACTTAACCACAAATTGAATTCTTAACAACAGGAGGGTCTTAAAATTCCTAGGCCTAGCCTAGGTGTAGGTTCAGTTCGGTGGTAGTAGTTGTTAATAGGCCTAATTGAATTTTAAGTTGGATCCATCATTTTGCATTAGTAGGCCTAGGAAGGTTCATGACACTCAACCGACTTTTCCTTATGAGATGGTTGGGATGTACAGAGAAATAGCCTAGGGTAGGTTGAGAGCTGTATACCCTGTAGTATCAGAGATTATTCCTAGGCCTTAGTTAATGGGCCTGTTTTTATTAGTAATAGAAGGTAGCCTATGATTGGCACAGAAACTTCTAATAAGTTATATTATGTTTTATTAATTAATTGTTTTAAGTAGGCCTATTCCTTAAAAATCTGAAGTAGGCCTAGGCCTAGAGCTTGCTTACTTAGTAGGTAGCTTGTCTTAAACTGGTAAGTTGGTCTATCTTTAACTTTTTTATTCTTTATAATAAAAAAAAAACAACCAACTAGGCTATTTCAAACAACTAGAGTTTTTATTGTTCAATTAGAGTTACTCAATTAAAACCCTCTGCAATCATAATAACACAACGGTTAATTAAGTAAAAATTATGGACTAGGCTATTACTCTTATTTTTAAGACTGCATTCGCCTACCCTAATAGGATACATTTAACTTACTAGGCCTATTTTTAAACTTGATCACTAAGTTATGCCTTAAATAAATGTAAGTCAAATGTTCCGTACAGCTTAGTTACTACGATTGAACATTTAATGTTTATTTAAGTTATAGGCCTAGCCTAACTTACTGTATGTCAATTTACAGTTTTTGCATGGTGAATCCAAAAATGATATCAGTTTTGTTTTTATTATACCTGCAACAGGAAAAGAATTTAGAGTTTTGGTTAGTATAACCCTATGTCTATGTACCGTACATTAGAAGAGCTCCCGGTTGCATGCCCATACACTACTGTTCAGACACAAACTGTGTTTTCCTGAATCTTAATTTCTAATAGGTAACATTGATAAAGACATTAGGCTATAAGCTAAGTTAGATGTAATTTTCCATCAACAGACAATAAGAGGTTTGTGATCACTCTTAAGGATAAAATGCTTCCCATACAAATACTGGTGTAATTTCTTAACACCATAAACTACAGCTAATGCCTCCTTGTCGATTTGTGAATAGTTTTGGTCTGCGTGGTTCAATTTACGTGATGCAAAACTTCTTTTCAGCATCATCTTTGTCTATTATGCTGAGAATACAACCTAGATCATAGTTACTAGCATCTACTGTGAGTATTACTGGTACTTGGGGGTCATGTGTAGTGTGCTAGCATAGGAGCCGCACACAATAGCCCTTTTACTTTCTTGAACGATTTTATACATTCATCGTCAAAACAAAAGTCTACATTTTTCTTCAAAAGGTCATACAAAGGTCTCAAAATACCCGCAATTTGGGGACAAACTTACAGTAATAGTTGACTAAACCCACAAATGATTTTACTTCTGTCACATTTCTTGGTATAGGGGCATCGACAATCGCTTAAAAGCGATAAAATTGTCTTAGCTTGCGAAGGTGTAAAGCCCATGTTTGTCTATAGTAAACCCCAAAAACTCCAATTTTTATGCAAACAATTTATTCTTATCTTGTTTCAAACACTGTGGAACCTACAGCCTTGAGGCGTGAACAAACTTCCCTTAGTCTATTTAAATGTACTTCGTCGTTTGGTCCTGATACAAATATCATAAAAAAAAACATCTTCACACCTTGTAAAGCTTGTTCGATGACTCTTTGAAAAATACCTAACTGCTGAGGCTAGATACTATAAGGCAATCTATTGTACGAAAACAATCCCTTGTGTGTACTGATTGTACACAACTTTTGTGATGACTCATCTAACCTTAACAGCATATAGGTGTGATGTAATTTTCCTGGCGGGCGACAAGTGGGAAATTACGCCACCGATAAGAAAAACGAGATCCCAGGATTCGCCCTAGTCTGGTCGCGGGGAGTTTCCCAGGAGTCGATAGTGATTCAGATAGCCTAAATTTGATAGCCCTGGTTGTCAGAGCTCGAGACGAACGTTGCGGGTTACTAAACACCACACTTGAAATCACCACTCTAGTCTGGGGCTTGTGGGGAAATTAATAATTTTGACTTGACTCTGTGGGCAATTATCTAAATGACACACTATTAGCTAACTTAACGAGAGAACAAGTAAGCTAAGTAGTCACCCCGCTTACCTACGGAGTTAAGTCGTCAACCTGCAACAAACAAGGTTAGTACAAGATGGGCCTAACCTAGCCTAATTCCCACAGAGTCCGAATTTATTAAACGAAAAGAAAACAAGTTAGCTTAAGTTGTCCAAGTGAGACACAAAACGAGGAAAAACTAAAACTTCTACTTCCTCACGTGTTCACCTTGAACCAACTTCGACAGAACTTTTCCAGCTGGAACCTGTCTGCTGGAACAAGTTTTAGGACGTTAAGGGAACAATAAAAGGGTTTAAGAATTAAAAGAGAAAGTCCCAAGACGGATTACGAAACGTTAATCGAAAATATATTTCACCAACTGCAATACTTTGGTACCAAATTAGTTGGTTAAAATGTATGACTAGATCGGAGAGTCAGGCCTAGCCTACGAACTTCGACAAAGTTATCCCAACCAAAAACTGGTAAGGTAAGGTACGAAAACCTGAGTCGTTTATTTCAAAACTTACCAAGATGACTAAAATTATTGTTTCCTCAAAACACTTTCACCACACCACCTTTAAATTACCGACAAGCTTTCAGAGCTCGCGAAACTTAACCGATTAAAACGACAACGACGAAGTTAAACAAAAACTCTTCAAACCGAAGACGAACGATCGAATGCCTCAAAAGCCGGGAATACGAATGACAATCCTTATTCTTCTCTCGTAGCCCGCCCTCAGACGCAGTCTAACAACCAAACTGACACCAACGTCGTCTGCGATCTTGGAATTTGAGGTTAGGTGCGATGTCAGTTTAGTGTCGCGACTCGGGCACAACAACAGCTTACATTCAGCTGTTTAAGTTTCGTGGTTTAGCCGTTATTTTACCCCCTACACATTTGACCCGTTACATAGGCTTGACTTAGGTCAATCTTACTGAAAAATTAAGGGTGTAAGATAGTGATCTGGGTCGATGATATTTAGGTGCCTATAGCATTTTCCTTTACTACAAGTCTTACTGGCTTATAACTACACTGCCCTAATTGGTCAGAGAAAACTTAAAATTCAAATTCAAATTATTTATTAACTCATAACATCTTTTGGAGTACAATGTACATAGATAGGAGTTTTGTCAATATTTATAAAACTAATACTACACTGAAATATTTGATATAACTAATTACAATTATTCAAACTTTAAAAATGTAATAGTAATACTGTAAACTAACTAAAGCATTTCATTTCATTCATTTGTACAAAAAGAAAAAATATCTGTCAATTCTTAAAACTAAGCTCAAACTACATGACGAAATACCAGTCTGGTCTGTATCAGATCAGGATATAGGCTTTGTCCTGTATATAATTCTACTACAGCAAAAAAAAAAAATAATAATAATAATATTATTAATATTAATATTACTTCAGGAAACTCATTTATTTGTTACCGGTACTTTACTAAACCTTCATCAAATTAATCAGCCTTGACACCTTTATTATGTTTATTATAGATAATAATCTACTTACGTATGCCAGTAGGTGTCAATTGTAGATAATTATGCTGTACATGTTTCGAGCCTAGTACGGCTCATCTTCAGCAGCATTCTTGTATGTAAAAATATTTCACATCGAGAGATGATTGTCTACTATTTACAGAAACCACATAATATACACAAACACAGAACATTTTAGCATGCTATTTACACGTATTTTCGTAGCGTACACTCGTTTAGGTAAAACTCGACCGGACGACATTTGTAGGCCTACTGAGGAACACGGACACGGGAGGGGGAGAGTGACGTTACGTATCAGCTGACTGGTGGTTCTTATTTCCAGTTTTGTTATCTACATCGTAATACAGCTGATATGTGATCTTGTCCGAATATTCCTCTCTCATATTTAACATGGTTTCATTGCCGTGTTCTTTCATATGTTGGTAAATAAATAATTCCCCCCATACTTTGGCTTTGTTTTTCTGGCTACAACTTTTCAAAATTACTTAATGATTTTTCAAATTTGATTTTATGACCTATATTATCCTTGAGATGTTATGCAACAATCGACGTAGGGTTATTTTGTTTGGAGGCATTATGTTCCTTAAATCTCTGAGAAAACAATCTCAGGTCGAAAACGACAAATTTGGAAAATGCGTCCACCACAGATAGTTGATACGAGTGTCCTGATTTTGTCCTAGGAAGTGTGCCTACGTAATGTATACTTTTCTGGAATGGTTTGGTTGCTAGATCAGATAATAATTCGCCCACCCTGGTGTTCGGAGCCTGTTTGGATCTTTGGAAGGAGAGACACATTTTGACTTTGTCGGCTATTATTTTGTTTAAGTTAGATGACCAAAAAAATCATTTATTTTGTGTATTTTTAATATAGGTTTGATAATTTTACAATAAAACAGCAATTGTGTTGATTTTAAAAGCCTTGAAGTGAGATTGGCGGCTGGTGAATTTCAGCCTTAAGATTTCTGAGAAGATGGAGGACTCGAGATAACTTAGCACATACCTGCGAGATATGTTGGTTCCAACTTAGCCTGGTAACCACCATGAATTTTAGAAGCCTTGCCGCACCCTCTTTCTCTACTCCGTTTCAATTTGCAGAACAGTGACTGCGTTTTGTCATCGTTAATTTTAAGGCCATTTGCAACAAACCAATCCTTGGTTTTTTTTTCAAGCAGGTCTTCGGCCTCTGTTAGTGGTTGATGAATATTAGTACCCATGATCAGCAGCGTTGCATCATGTGCTGTAATGTTTTTCCATTCAATCATAGATCTATAATCATTATTGTAAAGAGGAGAGGACCAAGGACTGATCCTTTCGGCACGCCGTATGAGAGATGGCCAACGCTGGAAAGGGCTCCTTGCAGATATACAACTTGCTTGTGGGTCCTCAGATAGTTTGAGAGCTCTTGAGAACAACACTACCAACGCCATATTTGCCTAGCTTTAGCAGTCGGATATCATGAGGTACAACATCAAAAGCCTTACTTAAGTCACAGAGGCTAAGCTTCACAGACTCATTCTGCTCAAAAATGCTTCAGAGATGGTGTCAACCGGGCTCAGCAGGGCAGTGGTGGTAGAGCGGCCTTTTTTTAATCCGTGTTGAACATGTGAACAGGCTATCGTCCTCAAAAAACAACATGAGTTGCTTCTTCATCATGGTTTTGAGTGACTTTAAAAAATACAGGCAGAATCGAAATAAGCCTAAAGTTAGATAGGGTTAGAAGCATCACCCATTTTGTGGACAGGCTGTTTTTAATAATAAATCATTAAATGAGCCTTCACTGAGACATTGATTAATTTAATTAACCTAGTGAGATGCACAAGCACAACTAAGGTTTCTACAATAGTCTTCAGGGTCATGCAGGAAACTGCATACATATCTTGGTAGGATCTCATTAGTACCATTTTCCATGTTGTTAGTGTGAGTTTTTGTATTTATTGAGGTCAGGAGGTTCGTTTGTAAAACAGGTAGGTTAGAGACTATGAATGACCTGCTGAACACTATTTACAAAAAAATATTAAAATCATCAGGTGACGCTTCAGTTTTTAGTACAGGCCTCTGGATAGGATGCTTATTTATAAGATGCCAGACTGCTTTACATGCATTTGGAGACTGCATGATTATCCTAGCACTGCAGGCTCTCTTGGCCTTAGTGGCCTCAAAGCTGTACTATTTCTTAACCCTAGTGTACAGGTTCCTAAAGACCTGAGATAGGCTACATGTTCTGGCAGGTTAGCAGCCTTGTAGTGATCGTGGAAAAGTTCAAAAAAAAAAAGGATAGCATTTTGGCTAGTTCTGTAGTAAACCAGTTTTATTTATCCTACAGGGAGCTTTACTTTTATCTCCAAGCACTTTTTTGGGTTTTATGGTCTTAAGAGTAAAGACTGAGTCAAACTTATTGGTAAACAAGTACTGGAAGGTAGAAAAAGCAATTTCAGGGTCAGATAGCAGGAGTGATTCCCAATTTACCGCTTGTAAGGCACTACTAAGCAGAGATAGATCATTTTAATCAATCACTCTCTTTAGAACCTGACTAAATCTATTCGAGAGACGAGGAGTTGCTTACCAAGATCAGTTGAAACACTTAAGACAACTGCTCAGTCATGGTCGGCGACCATAGGATGGACTACTTGGTCCTCATAATCTCAGGAGTCGAGGTTTGTGGCAGCCATGTCAAGGCCTCTAGGTCTTCTAGTTGGTTGTCTGGTCGTAATGAACTGTCCGTAGCTCTGCAGTAGGTTGTTTCTTCACGAGATGGGGTGTACATTAAAGTCACCACAAACTAAAAGTTTTTTGTTCATCTGGTGAGGTAGATCAGATTTTGTTCGAGGTGTCCGGGGATCTATAAATGGCTACCAGTATAGTTGAAATTTTGGCAATCTCCACTGCTATCAGTTTATGGGTTAGCTTGACACAAAGCTTTTCAAGGTTCAGTTTACTGCAGCCACACTGGCTTGAAGCAAATATTTTATGGCTACACCACCATTTTTGTGGCTATTTTGAAAGAAGATAACTAGATCTAATGTGTTAGTTAATGTTTGACTACAAGCACTTTCTTCCTGCACCAGCCAGTGTTCAGCCACTCAAAGAAAATCACATTTGGTTTCCTTGACAAATAGTTCAAGCAAATTTATTTGTTCTAATTCACTGAGTATTCAATATTGCAATATCTACACGGTCTGACCTTTTTCCAGTTTCTGTTTTATGGTCGGGGATAGTTTGGTTGATAGCAGTTTCTTCAACGGGATAAACATTTTTAACCTAGGCCCAGTTTCACTTTCACAACGTAGCCAAAGAATAGGTCTAGGAGTCTAACGTTAAGGAGATGGCTTGCGTGATTAATGATTACACAGCTATCTTGAAGGCTTGAATGACTTATATATGATCCGAATCTTGAGCTAAGATCAACGCATTCACTCTCGACCACACCTTTGTATTTCAAATATTGGAACAGGCTATTTTAACTGTCATCTTTCTGTCCATGTACACCTTTCATTTTTGGCTCTACTCCTCCTACAGTATCATTTTTAGATGCAAGTATACCTCAAAATTGAACTGAAGTGGGTTTTGTAATCTTAATTTTGAGCAGTAACTACTAACTTCTTTCCTTTTCCCTTATTGTAACCGTATATATTGGTGATTTATGCATATTAACAGTTAAAAGTATTGTCCAATAATCCATGTCAACGTTTCTTAGATATATAGGCTAGTAGTGATATTTTTGTCATGGGTCAGAAATTTCAATTTTTGATGTTAAAGTTCTATAGGCTATTCTATGCATTTGGTCATCTTTCACGGTCCAAATCTTTTAAGTAATCTCTAGTGACCGCTTACATGGAAACACTAATGTAGGCCTATTTATTAATTTATTGTATTCATCATGAAAACATGAAAAATTGTATCCAGGTACGTAAGTCTAGTATAATATTATAAGTATAAATTTATTGAAGTCAGAACCTATAACTTGATAATAAGAATCACTTGTTGTCATTGAGCACCAAAGTGTATGACATAATCAACATGTAGACGTTAAGCTGATCAAGAAGTTATTTATAATCAACATTTATCATACCCTATATGAACAAAGATGAAAATACAACCCACAACATAGCTTGTAGGCTTTAATAGGAGGACAGGGTGAATGCGAGTGACGATGATTAATTCTCTGTGGAAGTTTACCACAAATTCAACTATTGCAGGAAATTTTGATGTGTTCTCAAATGCAGATGTTCACAAATCCCTTGGGCTCGCGGAAATGTCTACAATTTTTTTTTGTATGATGGGTAACAATGATTATCTCCCTGCAATTGTGTGAGATAATATTTAACGATAGTACTGCGATCTTGGATTACAGTCACAAAGACAATGAAGAGTTCAATAAAGACCGAAAGTTTCTGAACAATCTGTTTCCAAAATCTGGAAGAAAATGAAAACCCCGCCCCGAATTAAAATGGTGTTTGAATACCACCCCGCCAATTCCTGGTATTTTATGTTTGATTTGATAGATTATCGTAACTCTACAATTTGTCATTGTCAAGCTGTGAATGAGCATGTCAAATTGTAAAATGCCTATGACATTAGGGGATTTTTATTGCAAATATTTTTCAGGTCACACGCCAAACCGTGGACCTGATGATCCAGGCTACTCAACCTTCTGGTTCCTTCATGTGCTTTGTATCATTTGTTCAATTGTTTGTGTTAGGTTTAATGTTGGTTTTATAAGAGATTTTTTATTTGAATTTTAATTTCCATGTAGGCCAGATGTTTATACTCATCAAATTAATATTAACTCGTTTATCCTTTAGTGCCAAAAGGCTATACAGGGTCCGGTATGTAAACAGCCAAACTCCGGGAAATGGTTCTATGGGTCATAATAAAGAAAAAAATCAGGAATAAAATGTTTTCCAAAATCGCTTCGTTAACCAGATATCCGCCATTTTGTCTTTTTCACATTAACATTTTTATCTTTAAAGATTTTCAACCGATCATTATGAAACTTGGTATGTATGTTAAAGTAAAAGAGACCCATGTTAGAAAAATATTCACCTCGATTCAACTTAAAATTTCAAAATGGCGGCCATTTTAAATTTTCAAACTTTAATTAGGTACTCAAAAATGGCTGATTTAATGAAAAAAATGTCAAGAATACTTTTATTTAATTCCCTATCAAACGATACAAAGTTCAAAAACATTGAATAAGAAATAGCTTAAATATTACGACTTTTAGTTTTAAAATGGGGTAGAGTAGTCATTGAATAGTCATTGAATAGTCATAAGACATTCTATACCAGTACCAATTATAATACTTAAGGCAGAAGCTCAGGTTTGCCCCATTTTACAACTAACAATATTAATATTTCAGCTATTTATTATAATTATTCTATCTTTTTGAACTTGGTATTGTTTGATAGGGAAATAAAAATGCTAAATAATACTCCCGCTGCAGCAAACCTGCTGACTAAGCAAATTTCCATATTTCTGGCTTGATTTTAAATTAATCTATTAAATTAACATTTATGTTTAACGAGTAGGCCTACCTAGGTATGCTGCTACAGGGAAACTAATAATGTGTGTTTTCTTATTAAAATATTAATAGCTTAGTATAAAATAAATAAATCTGTCAAATTTGATTAAAATATATCCATAAACAAGCCAAATAAAACATTTAACAATATTCTCCATAAGAATAACATGGGTACTCACTTATTTTGTAAATAAAAACACTTTTTCATTCATTAATCTATTCATTCACTAGCCTGTATTATTATCTTTTTAGAGATGCACCAATCTGTTGTCACTTTCATCGTGAAAACAATGGAAAAAAAAACATCACTCTACACTAAAAAAAAATAACAAAACGACTAAATGAGTTTTAGGGCAAAGGTGATAATCAGCAAAAGGCGTTTATAGCATTTGCAGCATTTTAGGACTGGTGTGTAGCGGATCCAAAGTCACTGGACGGCTGGTGCTCAAAGGGTCAAACGAGGGCTAGTATGAAGTTATTACCATATATTTCAAACGTCCATTCCATGGAACCAGCTGTTCTTAGTAATCAGGAAATTATTCATCCTACACATATTTTATCTGTCTATATCCCTCAGTACGCATAGTGGTTAATTGGAGTTGTAGTTGGTTGAATATAATCTTTCTTGCAGATAAATGAAAGAAATCGAGAAGAGCGATTGAACTCACCTCATAGTTGGCCTAGAGAAGAAAAAAGAGCTTCTCATGTACAAGACTATGATAGCCATGAAAGTGGGCCCAGCCACAGTAAGAGGCGCCACCGTTCCAGCCCACACAGGTAACCGGGTCATCTATACTGTCCAGATTTTACTTTTTACTATTACTCCAGACTCTGGGAGTATTTGGAAAAGTCAAGTAATTGCTCTTAAGTAGAGTACTCGCCCACCCCTACTAAATACTCCTCCCCTTCTTAATAATTATAATGTACAAATAAAAATAACTGAAATGAGCTCAAAAATTTTTGATTTTTAGAAATTTTTGTACCCACATAATTGAAGTAGAATATTTAAAATCCAACTTAATACCTTCACATGCAAAGCCAAAATAACCTTACAAAGTGTGTGTTAATGATTAATTTTGTTTGTGGCTATATGGTATCTCTGAGAGTGTTTTATCTGTACGCAGGACTACTCGTAGCAGCAAGTTGCGAGAGAGAGAAAGAGCATCTCCTGGTAGCTCCCCTAAAGCAGGCCCCTCCTGTGACGACAACTCTGGCTACAACAGTGGAGATGAGTATGACTCTCGTCGGCTTGGTGAGATTACCGAAGCTGAATGGGTGGAGGTAAGAGAGCAATAGTACAGGGTGAGGCAGTGAAACCGTCATGATGGGGTTATGCGAGCACGGGGGAAATTATATATTTTATCCAAACTATGAACAGTGTGTAGACCATAACAAATTTAGTTCTTGTATAAAGTGGTAGAACTAAAGTGCAAGTTGTTACAAAGCAATATTTAAATTTTGAGAACTGACTTATAAGTAGAAAATTATGGTTTTACAATACCAACTAGTCTTCAATGTGCTCGATCACGTGGCAGCCAACAGTTTTTGTTCTACAGTAGAGTTTCTACTGTACTCTATTAGCCCTGTCATAAGAGTATGAAATAAATTTCATGTTTTTGCCTTTACTAAAAAAACCTATGTATTTTGGAATGAGAATATTATATATTTTGTTAATTTGTTTTGAAAAGGCTGAAGTCTGAAATATTGATCAACAATTGCAGAAAGATAGACTGTTTGAGAAGAAGATGCGCAAACGAGGACTGATTGTGAAGGCTATGGGAGAAGATGGAGCTTGCTTGTTCAGAGCAGTTGCAGATCAGGTCTATGGAGATCAGGAGATGCACGCAGTTGTTCGTAAACATTGTATGGACTATATCGTAAGTCTTGCTTGTAATTATATTATTTTGGGTACTTCAGTATTAAACGGAGGCCACATTTTGTCAGCGCGCTGCGGCGGTTATGTTAGGTTGGGTTATCGTAAATATTATGTGTGTAGGACTTTCCTCGCTTCGTTATGAATCGAACGATACTTTCTATTATGATAACCCAACCTAACATAACCGCCGCAGCGCGCTGACAAAATGTAGCCTCCGTTTAATACTGAAGTACCTTATTTTGTAATAAAGTTAACTTTTGACGAATAATTTCTCTAGAACCCCTAACATTAATAAAAATCAACTATTTGGAAAGTTAAAATACTACTATATTCAGGAAAATTTATTATGCACAGCCTTTTATTAAACCATAACCTGTAATGCAAACCTTTTAGTGAATTTCCCATATAGGGAATAAGCTATTATCCCCTCATAGCCTCATGAGTCATTGGTCTCATGGTAAGACCTGGGCCTGAGACCGATTTGCTTTTTCGTTTTGAGGTCCCCAGAGGCCAAAAACACCATCCGTTCAAATTCATATATTTATATATGTGTCCGTTAGCACGATAACTTGAGCAAAAATGATCCGATTTTGATGATCGGATAAGGGCCAAGCGGTGTCCGGGTCCTGCGGTAACCGATCGGATACGCTCGACAATGCCTTTTGTATCTTCGTTTTTGCTCCAGCGTCGGTCGAAGGCGGACCCATACCACGTTAGCCTGTAGAGAGTGACTTGCTTTTTGTTGTGGTGTAGTTTGGTAGTTTAATTTCTCTGTAAAATCCCCGTCTGGCAAGCTTAAATTCAACTTGTTGTCCCGTCTTTTCCCCTCCAATTAACAATACAATGGGACCAGCTACATTCCTAGCAGTGCTGCTATCTGTGGGTGTTTAGCAAACTATGTCGACTCTCGTCGTAAAGCAGGACATCACCGCACGTTATTTGCTATTTGTCAGACCGAAATTTGAAAGCCAATCACCCGGCAATCAGGTTTGTTCGACGCTGCGGGATGTTGGCAGGATTTGTTGGTACGCCTGCCATTAGATGGGCCGCAGTGAACGTGTTAAACAGAAACGCGACCCTAGCAGCACCCGATGGAACTATCATTAAAATTGTCTCAGCTGTCGTCCCTTAAGGATGACAAATCTACTAAGAGGATGCACGTTTGATCTATATTATTATTTTTCAACAAATTATAGCTACAGATTGTGAAATACATAAGTGATTAAAAACTTGAAACCATTTGGCTACTTCAGCTTTTTTTCAAGATGCAATAAAAAACATTGAATAATTTACTCTGACATATAATATTTTTACTGCAATATGTTCTAGGCTGCCAATGGTGACTACTTTTCTCAATATGTAACAGAAGACTTCTCTAACTACGTCAATAGGAAACGCATGGATTGTACCCATGGAAACCACATAGAAATGCAAGCCATGAGCGAAATGTACAACCGTACTATCGAAGTATTTTGCTATGGAAAAGGTATGTGTAGACCATATTTAAAAACTATTTTGCCTTTCACACATTAAACACTATGCCCGAATATAGGTCGGGGTGCCGCGAATGCAGTTGTGAGCAAAGCCCGAGTATGGATCGGGCATAGCCTAAATATTTCTTTTTTACAAATTTGTTATTTTAGGCCTAGTATTATTATGTTTTATGCTATATATTATTATTGTTGAATTAAATATTATGCTTTAATTCTTTAATACTTTTAATACTTTATACTGAAATGGTGACCATATGTATAATATATACAGGATATGCATTATATAAAAAAATAATAAATTTTTTGAAAATTTAATTCGGTAGTAAAGTTTAATTTGATCTAATAATAAATTAAAATATTGTGGCCAGTTTTATATGAACTCTGTCATAACTTAGCTATTTTTCTTTTTAGAATATTTATTGCTTTTTATAAAAAATTAAAAATACATTTTTTTATTACCCTATAACATATTATATTTTCTCAAAGCTCTTGATTTCCTATTTAACCCTTCAACGCGTTACTTTTTATATGGCTGACCGCCCCCTCCCGCGGGACTTTTCCAAAGCTTTCACTGGGACCGTTACATGCTTACATAAACCGTCAATAATTAACTTATTTATACATATATTTTATTATTCTTGCACCAAGTTAAAGAGCAGATTATAGGCTTTAAAAATATACGATTGAAATAAAAGTTTGTATGTGATACAATAGTTACATACCTCTTAGAAGTTAATTTTTGAATGGTAGTCTTTGAAGCATGCTCCAAGACACAGTCCTGCTTCACACTTGGGACATCAATATCTGCTATCTCTTCTTACTCTCGGTTTTTGCACATACACAGTACCTCTTTTGTGCATTTACTTTACTTCCTGTAGGTGGTATCAGGTAAATGAAGTGCCTTTCTCTTTCTGTTAGTCTAGGAGGTCTCGGCTGAACTGAAGGTCTTCCGAAAACAGGTCTTGGTACTTCAGGGCCATGGGTCTCAAAAAGCATCTTTATAAGATCTAATCGAAAGGCTAGGTGGTCAATTTTCTGGTTAATAGATTTCCAGATTATAAAGGAATTCAATATAGAAATAATTCAAAAGGCGTTTGAATATTTGTACGTACCATTTCAGGCCCCTTTTTCTCTCCAGCTGATATGCATGCAGCATTTGGTCCCTCATATCAACTCCTCCCATTTGCTTGTTATATTCATCTGGCTTCATTTCTTGCCTCCCATCATTGCTAAGTCTTTTCGCGCCACTTCATGACCATCACATCTCCACTGTGCTTTACTACAACTTCTCCTTTTTCTAATTTTTGACTTTTGATTTCATCTGGAACATTTTTCGCTCAGGTTCTCGCGGAGGGCGCTTGGTACGCGTTAGTATTGTGTCTGTAACACCAGCCTATAATTGTAGTGTAGGTTGGTAGTAAATTTCCCTGTAAAATTCCTGTCTGGGTAGCTCAAGAATTCAACTTGTTCCGTCTTTTTCCCTCCAATTGGCAATACAATGGGACCGGCTACGTTCCAAGCAGTGCTGCTATCTGTGGGTAGGAACTAGGAACTACGTCGACTCTCGTCGTAACGCAGCACATCACCGCAGGTTATTTGCTATTCGTCAGGCCGAAATATTTGAAAGTCAATCGCCCGGCAATCGGGCTCGTTTGACACCAGGGTTACGCCTGCCATTAATAGGCCTTAGCGATTGTGTGTTAATTCTATAACATTTAAGCTTCTCAAACAAAATATCATGATAATGAGTTATATATTCCTGAAAAACAAGGCACCCACAGTAGATTCTCTTTTATGATGTCCAATAATTTATCAAGCTGTCTTCCACTGATTTCTCCTGAAAATTATATTGTAGCTTCTCGTCTGTTCTATTAATTTGAGTCGCCTTAACTGCCCTTCTTGCCAATTTTGACATTACAGTTTTCTTTTATTTACCTGCAACACCGTTGTTTGTTATCAACATTTGCCTATTACATGAACATTTTTTAATTGAGCAAATAATAGTATGTTACTTTAAAAAGTAATGGAAAATCCAGAGTTGTTTTGAATACAAATTGTAAACTAATAAACATAAACATTTTCTAGTTATGCATGTTCTTTAACTGCTAAATACTGATTTTTAATATCTGTTCAAGATCCCATTAACATTTTCCATGGAGTTAATAAGACGGACAACGAGCCAATCCGTCTGTCATATCAACGTAACAGCCACTACAACAGTATTGTAGATCCTCACAAAGCCACCATCGGTGTAGGCCTCGGACTGCCAAACTTCAGTCCAGGAGGAGCTGAGAAGAGTCTCATCAAAGATGCCATACGTCAGAGTGAAGACTTCCATATTGAACAGGTTAACATCTTATTCATTTTTCCTGTCTGACTCTCTTGTATTATTTACTCAATTTATAGAACTATTCAGGAAGTAAGATTTGTGTTTAACCCTCGAGGAGGCGCTTTACCAGTAAAACAGGAGCGGGCGTATGCAGAGTTTTATTCCGCAACACTAAATAGCATATATTTTACCCATTTTACTTATTATAATGAAATATTATATGTAAATGTTGAATAATCTAATCAGAAACTTAATTTCTTTGTGAATAACATTATTTGTTTAACTTTATATAATTAATATTTCAAATAATTATATTGAGCAAATTTCTAGTATAAAAGTATGTTACGAGAGAGGGCGCGTGCGGAGTTTTGTTCCGCGATAATGCAATTATACATACATGCAAACAAAATAGATTTGATAATAACTATAAATTAAATGGTAATACATTTAAACATGTTTATAATTTTGTATGTATGAAGTATAAACACAGTTTGACAATAGCGCATGAGGAAATAAACTCTGCGCTAAGGACTTACGCGATAGGGCGCACGCGGAGTAAACCTCCGCAAACTGACACCGCGTCACTGAATTGCATCTGACAACAAAATGAGGATGAGTTCAGGGGTAAAAATAGCTTAGGGGCATTCCCAGGATGAGGTACGTGAAGTGTAGAGCCAGACATGACTGCCAACACCCATTATACATATTTATATTAACAAAAACTACAAGTGCGGAGGAAAACTCCGCAAGCGCCCGCTCGATGGTTAATTTAGTAGTGCAGTAGATTCTTCCCTCTTCTTATTTTCAACCGTCTATACAAAAGTTTTGCAGGTTTTAAACTATAACGGTATTTAAAAAAAAAAAAAATTTCAAAGCAAAAGTCGCTCTCTATAAAATAAAACCTTTCCCTATAACCGCTAGGATGACTATTGGTATTGAGAATATTCTTGAATTTTCTGATATATTGAAATATTGAAACAATACATTTATTTGACCCTTCAAAAACTTTGAAAACTACACATCCTTGATCTATACCCTGAAGAGTTTTCTTACTTATTATTTTAAAATAATTACTTGCTCTTCACAATAAAACAAATTATTATTAACACAAAATTACAAAATCAAATGCTTTCTATGTCTAGATGCCTATTTTACTGTTTTTCAATTCATTCTTCATTGTTGCATTGATGTACTAATAAGATTAACTCTAACATTCTTCCATTGTAGGCAGGCTTAACTAACAATTCTATGTTACACGAACATATTTTATTCTTATATAACTAGTACTGTTATGATAACACTTATAAATTTACATTTAACATATCCTTGATCTACTATAATAAATACATTACTAAGCTTCAGACATGTACACTCATTTATTATTACGTTTTCTTACGACCAATAAATGTTCAACAAAATAAATGCTGTAGTAGATTTATGTATGGTATATAGCTCTCTATACTGAATTTTATTTGGCCTTTTTACATTTACATTTTAGCCCTTGAGCAAAAAAGGTTGGAGACCCCACTGTAGATTTTTTACTTTTGTTTATTAAAGTAGACATCCCATCTATATGGGATATCGATAGAATAGGATGATGGACCGGCTGTAGCGAATTTTTTACTAAGAAAGAATTTTTTACTGTTGTAGTTAAATGAGCCAGTCGCAGATTGTGCTTCAAAATTCTATTCCTACAGTCACTAAGTGGGCTTCCTTGCACAGATAATAGTACAGAAAGCCTTACTTTGGCGCACATTTTTTACTTTGGCACACACCAGTATTCCAACCAAACAACACAAAACAGCGTGCTTTTATTATGCACGTACGCTTGAAAATAAGTTGGTAACACTTAAAGATATTACGACTACGATCAGCTGGTGCAGCGTTTCCCATTTCGTTCAGTGTTTGGATTTAACCTAACCTACAAACGAATTGTTCAGTGTTTGAAAGACTAATTATTTATATGATTTATAGTACAGTAGAACCCTGGTTAACCGAACTCTGGTTAACCGAAACCCGGGTTATCCGAAACGGTTCCATAAAATAATACAGTGCTAAAATATAAGTACAGTAATACATAATTTAAAATGCTTATTAGTAACTTAAGTTGTTTAGTTTAAAGTATTTTCTAGCCCATTGTAACATTTCTGTAGCTGAAATAAAAAACTGTATTACATAGACATTGTTTAAAATTCATTTTTCCGACTCACCGTGGTAATACATAGGCTATTTTTAGCATATGGCGGGTTAACCAAAAAATTTGCTATCTGAAACGGCTCTCCCCCCTATATTTCGGTTAACCGGGCTTCTACTGTAACTGTAGGAAAAATATATTGTCTAACACGAATACTGCCTTTGTTGCACTCGAGAAACTTTCCACACTCGCCTACGCTTGTGCGTGAACATTTCTCTGGTGTGCAGCAAAGTGCCACTTGTGTAACTAGTGGGCGAAGTGGCACTTTGCTGCACACCAGAGAAATGTTGTTTGGTTGGAATACTGGTGTGCGCCAAAGTAAGGCTTTCTGTACTATTATCTGTGCAAAGAAGCCCACTTTGTCGGGTGACTGTAGGAAAATAACTATTATCTACCATTCTTGTAGTTACTGTAAACTTAATGTGACATAACAGATGCTATAGTTTACAATACCAAGTCTTTCCAGTTTGGCTTGGTTTAAAAGTTGACTTATTCAACACAAATCAGTAATTAACATTAGTGCACTACGTCAATGGCTTAGTTCAACTGTGTTCATTTCAAGCCATTCTAAAACATTTACAAAGTTGACATGAGGGTAGAATTTGTAGTTATATTCATACAATGTGGTGTTCTAGGTAGCTGTATTAGGAGTGTGATCAGTGATAATGATTCCATCTTAAACAAAGCAAATATGGTCATTTGTCATCCAATGAAACATCCTCTCCTTATCTATTTAATTTCACTATAATATTTTGGACAGGTTATAATCACAGTAACAAATAAATCAAATAGGGTAAAGTAATCTGATCAATTCAGATCCAAAACGTAATTAAATGCAGATGTCTTATGAACATAATTTTTTTTAACCTTTTGATTTTAAATTTATAATACTGTTCAGATCCAGATGTGGTGTTTTGTATTTTGAATCTGTTTATCCTTCATGTTTGATAGGTGTTGTGTCAATGTTACAGGCTATGTTGGAAGACAAGCTACGAGCTACTGACTGGGAAGCTACCAATGAGGCTATAGAAGAGCAAGTAGCACGTGACAGCTACCTACAGTGGCTGCGGGATTCTGAGAAACGAGACAAAGCTCTAGCCAGAGTATGCTTACCACCTAATACTTTTAGTAGACCACAAAGTCTAAAACACAAATTTTGTGTTAGTTGTACTGAAATCTAAAATGTTAAAAACCTTCATTTTAATTCGCCTTTTCTTGGTCTGGCCCGTGTTTATGAAAAGCACGTTACTATTATTGCCATTGCCATTTAAGCCATTGCTATTATTGTTACTGTTAGTGATGTGTCGATATCAAAATTGATCGATTCTTGATACCGATAAAATTTTTTATTGTTCAACCAAATTTTCTGAATGGATTGGTTATACTACACCAACCCCTGTCTTAATGTCCTTCCATCAGGTATTTTGGAGGTATTGGGGTGTTTTTCACGTGAAGAAAAAAAAGCAGCAATGATACATTCCATCTAGCCAATTAAAGTTCAAACCATTCTAAACTCATTAAAAAACTAGCTATTTTAAAGATAAATTAAGATCTTACTACAAAAATCAAAATAAAAATCATATTTTAAAGGTGTGCTAGACTGAAAATCTTTGTCCAAACTCGAGATAATATCAAGATCGTCATTAGCGGTCGAAAAGAGATCTCATCTTCGTCTTTTGGGACACTGCAAAATTTGAAATATCTTCCTCAATTACAAAAACATCTTCACTGTCTTTCGCGGTTGCGGAAAGATCATGAACATCTCCCGCATTATAGACATCATCATCATCAACTCCTGCGGTCGCAGAAACGTCATTGTCATCTTGCGTGATCGCGGTGAAATCATGAAAATGTTCTGCAGCCGTGTAGACATCATAATTGACTCTCGCGGTTATGGAAACGTCATTGTAGTCGTCCGGTATCGCGTCAAAATCATGAAAATTTCCCTCGGTTGTGTAGTCGTCATCGTCGTCTCCCGCAGTCACGGAAACGTCATCTTTGTTTTGCGTGATCGCTGCAGGATCATGAACATCTCATTCAGAAACCACCAACGTTAGGCCTAATCAAAAAAGAAACTCCCTACAAAACCTGCAGCTTATCACGCACGACCTATCACCACGGCCTCCAATCATTAAAGACAATCTTAAAAGACAGTTTCAAAATCCTCAGAGCATCCCCACACATTAAAGACTTCTTGGAAAACCTTCCACAACTACATTCCGACAACTAGCCAAATTAAAGATGTTAGTTCTCCCGAAACTACCAAAGCCTAACAAAGGCCAAGATAAACCCATAGAAGGCTCATTCCCATGTGACATGGCAAGATGCAAAACCTGCCACATAAATAGGCCCAGCACCATTTACAAGCACATCAACAGGAGAAACCTTCAAAATAAAAGGACACAATACTTGTTGTAATGAATAATGTTGTATATCAACTTCATGCAACCATCGTCCATCTCAATATATTGGACTTACCACCACCAGTTTTAGAACAAGAATTAACAATCATGGGTCAGACATAAAAAACAACCAGATAAACCAGTGCCTATTCATGCTGCCAGCCACAATATGCAAGATGCACTTTTCGATTGAATATGTAAAGTATAACAGTTGTTTAAATTCAAAAATAATAATAAGATCCTTCTCCCCCCCCCTGTAACCCATCACAACTACCAGGGAGCAAAATCCTTGGTTCGCAAAATCCAGGGAGCCCCCAAACCTCAATCTCAGATAGGCCTAACATTTACCATTTCCCTTTCCACCCCTAAAAAGCAGGCTTAGACTAAGTATAAATAAAAATTTATGACTCATTTAACCTGTAAATATTCATTTGTAAATTCATAGTGTGTTGGCAACACTGCTTTCTTAGGCAGGGTGCACACTGGAGAAATCCGTTTCATGAAACCAATGTCATGAAACGTGAAACTTTAGTTGCTCGCAACAGATGGATTAGTTTAACACACGGCAGTGCACACTGCATTGCATGAAACTGTAATTTCATTTGTTTCTTGCAACTGGTTTACATGAAATCCAAAAAACAGATATCGTTCAGGCTTCAGATTCACGTTTCTATTGGTTTTATTGACTTGCCTCAGTGTATTGTTATTTTTTCCTCAGCACTCAGAACTAACCTCTGGTTGGTGTCCTTCTTTTTTATTAGTGGACTAAGTAATTCCACCAAACGTTCAAAAAGAGGCTTTGTCATTCTAAAAAATCTAAAAATTTTACAGGATCACTGCATAATTAACGAGTTACAATGTAAGTACTGTGTTGACCATCCCTAATCAATGGGTGAACCCAATACTTCCTTCTTTTCGTCTTCTTTAGCCACCACCAATATAGTCACATCATCATTATCCAAATTCATATCACGAAATCCCGTTTCTTCTGTGTGCATTTGTTAAAGAAGTGGTTTCCTTGAAACCAGTTTCCTGAAACGGGTTTCCTGAAACGGGTTTCTCCAGTGTGCCCCTGCCTTAGCAGTGGAAGAGTCCAAATATCTAATGTGACTCTCCATGTTGAGAAAGGGGCCAGTGGCCTCGAAATATCCAGTGTGTAATTTATTGGATTTTGTGTTTTCTTCTGTGTTCTGTAGTGAATGAAATGGGATGCCTGCATTTCTTAAAATAAGCCTGCTTATCCTATCCTTTCTCTCCCCTATTCTCAGGCAATAAGCCCTTTCTCTTCAAACCTAACCATGTAAGTAATAAATTGATACTTAACAATTTGTCTGATATGAATACATTTATTAAAACCCATTAAACATTTCAATGTTCTGGATAACTCGACAACCCCAAACTCCATAAGAATAACATGGGACTTTAGAGTTTCCAACTTTTAGAATTTTCTCCATACCAAAACACTCCAATATAACCTACAGTAATAGGTCATTCCCCATTCCTTGTAAAAATGTAGGCATCCCACTTCATTCACTACAGAACACAGAAGAACACAAACAAAACAAAATAAACACTGGATATTTCGAGGCCACTGATGTTGAGAAAGGGGCCAGTGGCCTCGAAATATCCAGTGTTTATTTTGTTTTGTTTGTGTTCTGTAGTGAATGAAGTGTGATGCCTACATTTTTTAAGGTAAGCCTGCTTATCCTATCCTTTCTCACACCTATTGTTTGTAAATTGATCTCTTTCTTTGTTCCATTCCATGTTTCCTACCCTACCTGTGGATTACTGAAATTGTAGATCAAGTTAATTGCAAGAGTAATGAAGTGAAGTGGATAGAACCCTTGGATGTAATCGGTATCATGAACTCTTACCACACAGAGACGCAAGTAGCTCTTGTAATACTTTTTACAACCATATTTTTAAGCTGTAGTTTTTAGCTTCGTAAAATAAAGTACTGTCAAATTTTGAAAATCTTGCCATGCGTTCGTCTGGGCGTTTTAGTAAACCAAGCAGTCTGAGATATTTTTTTCTATTAATAGTAATTTTTATGTCATGGTGTGTCTGCACTGTTCATCCAGTTGTATAAGGCCATTTTTTTTTTTCGGAACTAATCTTCCATTCACAGTAATGCTGCTATAATACTGTTATAAGAATTTGATGTTGAAACAGTATAATGCCCTATGTTATACTAGAGGTGTGTGAGCAGCTCAACTTTTATGCCGAGCCTAGCCTAAAAGCTCAAGTGCACTAAGCCAAAAAATCACTTAGTGCAAAAGCACTAAGTCAGAAAATCAAGCATTTATTCTTGCAACCGCAGAACTCTGGGAAATTGCACTTATGAAAATTAACAATGTCTTCACAATGGGGGGGAACAATGGTGATATCTCCAGGATTGTGGGCTGCTTGGTGATAGTCCACTGTACAATTCAATTTGATTTGCTGTTTCAGTTTAATCTAATATTAGCTTATTTGATGGTAAAATTGTATTTATGTTTGTCCAGTCCTCCACGGCCACATCTACATCGGCTACAGTCACTTGTCCCTCGCCTCGCAGTCCTCGCTCCCGTCACAACAGTCCTAAACATGACGGTGGAGAGTGCAGTCAGTCTTTCAATCTCATAGAGTCTGCCTCCTTTCTTAACATTGTACCCCCGAGCATGTTTGGTAAGAGTTGTGTCTGTGTTAATAGTACATTTTACGATTGTTTAGTTAAAACATTTGTGCTGCTCTGTAGCAGCCTATCACATTAAAATGTTTAATCCGTGTTTGACTCTTGTCCCATGATATGCTGGTTCTTTGATTTACGTTTTGATAAGGTTCTCTAATGACCTTCATAAGGTTCCTAAATAGGCTGTGCTGACTCTGAAACCTAAGTCACAGTATTCCTTTACATTTATTTTACTAGCGAGAAATATTTAGTAACTTGCTGGTTGGTAAGGAATTTGTTGGCCTACTTCCACTGATGATAATGTACTATACAGTAAAATAATAAATAAAATATTAAAGACCATAAAATACACAGTTTTCCACTTTTCAAGTTTGCCACCATTTTGGAAAATGGCCGCCATTTTTTAAATAATAGAATTAATATTTTTAACAAATTTTATGATCTTTTTTGAATGTGGATGCCATTTTAAGACTTATTTGACTTAGTTACTCTTCACATTTTTACTATAAACCTACTTGTTTGGGAGCTACATGATGTAAAATGTACACCGGAAGTCATTTTTCCATAGGCTGTAACTCCTAAACGAGTGGGTTTATCGGAAAAATGTCAAAAATGTCGGAAAACATGATAAAGTATAGGGTGTTCCATAAGAAATTTCAAAGTTGACCGCCATATTGGAAAATGGCGGCCATTTACAAAAATTTTATTTAATTATTTTTTAACCTCTTTAAAAACAAGGGAATGTTTCCCATTTAAAGTTTGCTGTAAAATCATTAGTTACTGAGATCCCAATGGTGGCACACTAAAAAAAAAACACCCTGTATGACAAAACTCATCACCCTCTTGACCAATGAAACCTCATTGCCTTAACAATGTACCCACTCTGCTTAGTCATACGAATTAATACTTGAAATTATCATTAAGTATTAATTTGACGTAAAAATGATCAGCAGTAACCTAGAAAATGATAATCACGCAGTACTAGGTTGGATGCCAACCACTAGCAAGCTGGACGAGCTATCTGCAGAACATAAACAACGGCAGTTGTTGGCAGTAGTGTCAGTCTTTGTCATTACGATGTTTTAATGTAGACATGACTGTTCGGGTCGAAGCACAGCTTAAACAAAATGCAATTTTATGCCTTTCAAACTAGAAAGATCCACCTTATGTTTTGAAGTACTACTGCAGTGTACTATGGTTTGGCATAATTCGAACAATACAGCGTTATATGTTTTTCAAGACAATTGAAGAAGTGATGAGCATGTTTGTATTTTTCCTTTAAAAACACTACCTTATTTAAAAAAAATTGCTGCATGAAAATTCTGTTTGATAATTTTTTATGTATTGTTAAAATTTATATTTTACAAGTACTTTATACGACTTCCTAATGTGGACCATAACCCGTAACCTCAAAATCTATGCAACCTCTAAGTTATCCGAGATTCTTTTAACCGAGGTAGTCTAGGTCACAACAACCTCGGTTAATCGGGATTGTACGGTAGTTTTACTCTGTTTATAGTCTGTCATTGTTGTTTAATTAAATGTGAGATGTTATGATAGGATGATAGGAATAAGGTTTTAAGCAAATGTAGATAATGATTTAAGTGTTTTAGAGCTGTGATATAATTTGCAAACCGTTATCAGGACTGTCAGAGTGGGAGGACGCTGGTATTGTCGCGCAGGTATTGGCTGCATCACAACAAGAATACCTGGACAATCTCAAGAAAGCCAGGGACGCCAACAACGCACAAGAGGCAGGCACGAGTGTCGTTGACCACCTTCAACCCTCCACTTCCAGTTAACCAACCACCTAACATACCTTTGTCAGTCGCAATAATTTGTTTTCAACTTCTTTATGAAATTGCCATTTGAAAAATATTTTAAATAACTATGGCAGTTAGGATCATATCAAAAATATGGAAATTGCCATTTTTTTACTTTAAGTGTGTGAAACAAGTAATCCAGGTTTCTTTCCAGTCGGTCCTTTGTAAAGTTATAAATACACCTTCCAGTGGGTGTAAAAGTGAATTGTGGAAAATGTTTTAAACATAGTTACTTATGTTAGTGTTTTATGTTTACAATTTTTTAAACATGTTGGATGCTTCAAAATAATTTAATTTGGTTTTCAGAGGTGAGAAGTTATTGGGTTTTTAATAACTCTAAATTTCAAATTAGTAACTGAAATGTCGAGTTGGTAAAAGCTATGAGTGTAGATAAAAACATGATTTTCCAAAATAAGATAATCTAGAACTACAGGACTCTGTAAATATGTAAATATAGGAGTACAAAACACCAAATTAATGTTTAAAACATAACCCTAACCAATTTAGTCAATAAGAACATTCAAACAGTGGCAGTAAAGTTTTCATACTATAGTATAATGTAAAGTCCATTTTGTTCTTAGAATATTTAAAACAATTACACAAAACTTATTATTCTTGTTTTGTAAGTTCTGATCTGTTTTGAGGTTATCAAGCTTATCCCACTACTTTCTCGCCTCTACCTTTATTCAATACTTCAATTGCTTTTGTGTTAGTTTAAGATTACCTATCTCATCTGGATAGAAAAGAGATTTTTTTAAGTGTATCAATGGGTTTTATGTGTTTCTCACTTGTGATATAGCTATAATCATTTTCTTAGACTGTTCAGCCAGGGCCGGATCTCCCAATAGGCCCGGGCCTAGGGTGCAAGCTCCCTGGGGGCGCATCCCTGGACTCCTCATCCCATTTTAAACTTTGAAGCTTGTTTTTCGTGTCTAGTTCATGTACGTCCACACTGGATCACTGGGGGTTAGATGAAATTTTGTTTCTTTTATTTTAGAGTTATTTTCATGATTTGTGCTAGACTATTAATTTGGTTATATAACTAGGAGATTAGTTATTGTTTATGATTATATTGTTTTATTTGGTTAAATGAGGTTTTAAATGACTGAAATAACAAGAAACAAATTGTAAACAAAACATGACCTCTATAGTTGGACGTACAGAGACAATAAAATTGGCTTCAGCTGTTCCATAAGGATGATAAATCTACTAAGGTAGTATGTTTTATCCATGCTAAAACGTTCCAATTTTGAAGCTCCTTTGAACAAATAATTAATGAGAAATAATTAATTAATTAATAATTAATTGATGGTTAAGTTAATCAATTTTTCAACGTACTTTACAACATTGTTTTTAAACACAGGAGAAGGCTGTAGTAGGATGTTGTCTAGTATTACGTATCGTCTTGCTACTGCTACTCTGCTGGCACGGCTCTGGTGCTACTGCTAAAAAAGTGAGTAGGGGCGCTTGCGCGGGACAATGTGTTATTGTATCTAGACAGACACTGTTACCAACCTTGACCTAGCAAAACGAAAGTTATCAAGAAATATTTTGATTAGCTTAAAATAACCTGCAGTATCAAGCTAAAATACTGTATATAATACAGATTTTTTAGATCCTTTAAAATTAACGAAAAAATAGATTGAGATTGCAATAGGTTTTAGACAGATTCAATACCCTCCAAAAGCGCCATTTAATTCTGCCTTTCTTTCCTCAGGCAGAATCGGTGTGGTTAGCCGGAGGATATTGCTTTGTTTTGCATGGTGAATATAATTTAGTTGCAGTATCACGATTGACTTAACCAACACAAGTGTAGACTTCTCATTACATTGTAAAATCTAAACATTATTTTTCATGTCTAGTTCATGTTGGTGACATTGGGCGCTTGTGTCGACGAAATTTTGTTTATATTATTTTATGATTTGTTTTTGATTTTCTTGTAATAGGGGACAACCTGTTGTTTTTGATTAGGCCTAAATAGCTTTATTTGGTAAAACAAGGTTTTAAATAACATCTGAAATAACAAGAATTGTCTTCAACTGATGCATAAGTATGACAAATCTACTAAGAGCGGGTGTTTAATCTATGTTATCACATACTATATGGAGTTTATGTTTGTGCCTGAAATTTGAAGAAACTACGGCAGCAGCAATGGTCAAGCTTTGTTGCAGCTGGTTAGATAGTTTTGTTTCAGTCCCACAAACGTGAGCTCACTGTTTGATACATAAAACTGCTAAACGTGATTAAGGCGACATTTTGTGAAAGCCAGAACCAAGTAAATTCTTCAAAGAGCTTGCAATGTGAAAATTGTATTGTGGAATGGTGTTTTGGAAAGTAAATTTAACTAGATTTAGAGGCGGAAAAACTATTGGGCCTATGGGCACCAAAACGCTATATCCGGCCCTGTTTTCAGCAGTACATTAGTTCAATTTGATCAAGATATTTTGTGATACTTTTAAAGCAACTATTTTTTTTTATCTGATCAATTTAGGAGTTGAATATTGAACGTGTTGGTAACTGCACAATCAAAATGTGGTTTTATATAATTATAGTCTGATACATGCTTGTCAGTCTGGTATGTCTTATTAGTTTTCTTTGTTAACTAAGTCAAAATATTTAATTTTGTTAGACACATTTTAGTTTTATAGCTTTTTTCGTGCATGTACACAAATCAACTTGTTTCTTAGTTTCAAATCTGGATTAAAGATCCTTGGAATTGTTACACGCAAATAATTTTACAGACTTCTAAGATGTATTAAGAAAGTATGACAGCTGTGATTGTTTTATCTTTGTGTTGTTGTTAAGTGTTTTGTAAATATTAAATGAATCAATTTGTATGAAATTACAAATCAAATTGTAAATTCTATTATAAGTGTGTGAGATACATATTTCATGATTAAGTTACATGCAATATGAGGTTTAATTAATGATTTGAAGTAAAAAGTGCTTGTGTTGAGACTTCCTCGGAATTTACATCTTTTGTGTAGTCATTCAAGAAAATATATTCATTCCTATGACAACTATGGTAAACGATTGAGGTACTTTTTATTGATGCGTTTTTATTTGTTATTTTAAAAAAATGTTTATTATTTGGCTATTGTCCTTAAAACTGCAGACAAATTTTATAATATTAGGTAGGCCTAGTTGTCATGATCAGTAAATGAAAAAGCTTATCACAATAAGAGTTATTCTTGCTGAACTTTTCTTGTCTGTTATTATTACATATTGTTATACTAATAAACCATCTCCTTGAGTGCAATATGATTCTTAATTGTCTCAACTACTTTTAATATGTAGTACAGACTAACTTTGGTAGGCATCCATAACAGGTGGTCCATAACAACCACTAACATTTTGTTCCGTGACAGCTCGACTAATTCATGGGTTAGAGAGATGATTTTTGTGTTGAATGGCTCCTTAATTAATATCATTTTTTGTAATTATAAGTTGGTCAAACAGTTCAACGTTTCTAATGGAGGTGGCATAAAAAATAAATAATAAGGGAAATCTAAGCAATGTTTGTTTTGCGGGGTTAATCAAACCATTTTTACTTATGGAATATGACATCCTCATATGATGTCCACCGAAATCCAAGCATGCAACCAATCTTCTTTGGAAACTCGCAATCACCCTTTGTATCATGGGCCTAGGGTTTTGGCAATTTCTTAAGGATGCTGTTCATCAGATCTGCAATAGTTTGGGGTTTTGTGGCGAAAACCTTGCTCTTCAAGTAGCCCCACAACCAGAAATCACAAGACCAAGGACCTGGAGACCGGGGAGGTGCAACCGGGTGATGGTGAGTTGACGCTAACCGAGGATAGTTCGTCATTGCATAGATTTCACTCATTGTTTACTTTTGTGTCACCTCCAATAGAAAAGTTGAATAGTTTGAACAACTTATAATTACAACAAATGCTATTAATTAAGGAATTATTCAAGGCAAAAATCATCTCTCTAACCCATGAACTAGCTGAACTCACAAAACAAAATATGTTACCGAAAATTTGAACGAATAGTGTTTTTGGCCGATACCCACTCCATGAACTGGATGAGCTGTTGGGGAAGACGATGGAGGTACAATGTCCAGACGTGTGATGGGAAGAGAAGAGAATGTCCAATCTAAACACTTTTCTTAATGTCGAAACGACGGGTTAGTTTATATGAGCTCAAGAAAATGTTATTGTAGGTAATGTTCACACGCGTTCACGGAAGCCGCACAAGAAGTTCACGTTGAATAGGTGCTATCACTTTTCAGGGAGCTAATACACAATTAAAAATATAATTTAAAAACATAGAATACAATTATGTGTGACACGAAATAAAGAATATGGGGCCTAAGTAGGCTACAATACACTGTTAATAGGGAACTGTCCTGAATCAACCGACCAAAAAATAGAGACTTGATGAACGGGAGTGTTACATCAAGATCAAGGAGCTTTTCCGAAAGACTGATGCTTGTGGGTTTCGGGAATGGACGCGTCCAGTGGCCACATGACCGTCTCGACCAATAAATTTATTGCTATATTTTAGTTTACCAATGAGGGAATACTTAGACCCCTCTAAGCAAGTAATGTTATAGAATAATGGGACCTCTCTCTATCTCTGTGGAAGGGATAACGATAGAAAATTGAAATAAAGCAGTGCTGAGTTGCCTGACAAATAATATTACATCAGAGACTTATACGAAATACTGAACAGTGATATTTTTAATTATGTTACTAATATGTGAACCAAAAATTGCTAAGAATTAGGTTTTCTTTTCTATCCATTGACTTAATTTGTGGTTTATTTCAACAGTTTAAAAACCAATTTGTGTACTAAACTGGTTTGAAAACCATTTTCAACTGCTATGTACTTGATCGTGTTTAGGTAAACACATTTTGGACGAGTGATGAACAATATTTTTCACCATATTACTCTAAACTAACCTAACTGTATAAAACGGTACAAATCCGTTATTTATTCCTACCAACGTAGGACTTGTCTAATTAAAAAACTTTTATAATTATGCTGGTGGTAATCAGTTGTTTTCCGGACCAAATCCTTACGTGAAAAGACCTTTAAATCAGTGTAATGTGGCGGTTGCGAAAAAGTATTAAATCTTAACTTACACTTGATCCTAACTTTTTTACATTTGAAAAATAAGTAGGTTATCTATTTCAGTCACACTTTTTTATTACAATTAAGAAAATTATTAAATTCTATCCTTTTTATGGTTTAATTATATAACATGTTGATGGACAAATAACTGACACAAATATATTAAAAACTATTATTTATGTTCAAAGTCATATGGCAATATAAACAATTATTTATGTTCAAAGTCTTATAGCAATATAAACAATTATTTATGTTCAAAGTCTTATAGCAATATACACAAAAATACTTTACACTTCCAACAATAAAAAGAGACATTTGCCATTTTTACATCGTTGTCCATCCTTGCTGTCATCAAACTCGGGAAGATGGTCGACCCTGTCCGCACATCAACAATGGGAAGTGGTTCTGCATTTAATTCAAGCCTTGGTGGACAAGGATAAGGAGTTGGTGGTTTTTGTTATGATGGTCGTGTCCTCTTTTTTGTTGCTCAGCTCTGGTTACACAGAATTTAGGCTTGGGAAACATGTTGCCTGAAGTGTAGATCAAGAGTATCTTTCTTCAGCAAGTTTATTGCTTTGGCATCTTTCATGTACTCTAACCAACTGTGGTAATTGCCAAGTCAACAGTATGATCATAATCATTCTTAAGGTCCATTTCCTTGTTCTGATAAAAGTTCTGTAAATAGAATTTAAATAATCAAGCTTATCGACACCACCCAAACTTTCATTAAAGCTTGATTGCCTCTGTGAGGCACTTTGATAAACTGTTTTATATTTTCATCCCATCCTCTGCAAGCTGGATATTCCCTGCTGCGACAAAGCTACAACTCATTTATTGTCATACCATTTAGTTATGGTGACTTTAAAAAACCAAACGGCAAAAGAAACCAAATCAAACCCATGTTAAAGCTGTCGCCAGTTTTAGGATCAAAATGGATGAATGTAGTTGGATTGAGCCAGCAACAGAATGCACTGATGTAAATTTTACTGATTTTTCTCCAATATACCCTACTTTTTAACTTGATATGAATCCATTTTTCTATGGATGCTAACTTTAACATTTCTTATGGAACATCCTGTACTTTATGATATTGTTAGAAGTAGATGCAATTTTAAAAGACTTATTTACTCTTAGCATTTCTTCTCCAAACTTACTTGTTCAGGGACTCCAGAATGTACAAAGCTCTGAAGTAGCATAAGAGAAAAAAAATGTGATGAATGAAAACGTTTTAAAATTGCATTTACATTCTAAAACCATCATAAAGTTTAAGGTGTTCAATAAAAGATGTCTAAGCTAGTCGCCATATTGGAAAATGGTGGCCATTTTAATTAATTAAATATGTACAATAATATGTCTTTTTTTTATTATGTAATTAAGACAGACACTGTGAAATTTTATGGACATAGGATGCAGCCATGCAGCTGACATGTTACTTGTTCCAAGCTATTAAATTTTACAGGTTTAACCATATGAACTCAAATTAATTATATTACTAAACCCCAGCACCAACC